TAAGTTATATTCCCAGGTTATAATCAGAGAGTCTCTCAATATTGTTCTGTCCCTTATACTTAGGTTTGGGCCAACTAAAACTGATTTTTCTGTGTGATGTTAAGTAGAGATCCAATTTTATTTTTTTACATGGAAAATCAATTTTCTCAGTATCCACATATTAAAAATTTATTTCTCTACTCAAGTACTGCCCTTATTAGAAATAAAGTGTCCACATCTGCAAGAGTCTGAGTTCTCTATTCTCTCTCATTTGCCTACTTGGCAGGAATCTCACACTTTCTGAATTAACAGAGCTTAATAATATCTGTAGGACAAGTCTCCCTACCCATTGCTCCTTTATAAAGAGCATCTTGACTATCCTTTGTCTTTTGCATTTTAAAATTAACTTGTGACATTACACACACCCACACAAACACACATAATGTACAAACAGATAACAAGAAACAAAGACAAAAAACAGCATATTTATTAGGATGGCACTGAACTTACAAATCAATGAGGAAGAAAGAGACATGTTTACAATATTGGATCTTTTTAATGCATAAACATGGTATATCTCATCATTCATATCAGCCTTAGAAAATATTACTTAATAATGTTTCACAATTTTCCCCATAGAAGTATTGAACATCTCTTATTATTAGAAACAAGATAAAAATGAAACTGATATATAGAAAAACTGTATATTATATGTATCAGCCTTGCATAACTGTCGTATTAACTCATATTGTGTGCCAGTAACGACAGTTGGTTGTTTCTTTTTCAGTCCTAATAACTGTATTTCCTTATCTTTCTTTACTGCATTGGCCAGGATTTCTAGAAAAATACTAAATAGCAGAGGTGATAGCAAGTATCCTTGTCTTGTTCTAGAACACAGAAGGAAAGCCTTTAATATTTTCCTATTACAATTTATGTTTGCTGTAGATATTTTACATTACATTAAGGAAGTTCCTCCCTGCTTTTAGTTTTCTAAAAAATTTTAAATACCAGAAATAGATATTCAATTCTATTAAACACTTTCCCTGGATTTATATTTATACATAAAAAGTTATACATATTTCTTACTGTTTCATATCTGCACATCTGTTGTGGCGGCTCCTTTTTCAATGCTGATATTGGTAATGTGCCCATTTCTCTTGCATTCTAGCTGTCTCATCAGAGGTTTGAAACATTTATTAATCTTTTCTCACAATCAGTTTTTGGCTTTTGTAGTCCTTTTTGTTATATGACTATTTTCCACCTTGTTAATTTGTTCTTACTTTAATTAATTTCTTCCTTCTACTACACTGAGTTCATTTTGTTGTTTTATAACTTCTTGCGAGGAATTCTTAGCCTATTAAGTTTTGTCCTTTGTTTTTATAATATATTCCTTTAGGTTACAAATTTCCCAATAAATACTTCTTATAGGCATCCTACAATTGTTATATGGAGGATATTTATTATTGTTTAATCTAAAATTTTTCTAATTTCCATTGTGATATATTTTTAATTGTGCAACTATATTCCTAGCTGTTTTTCTTTGCAGCTTAATTTCATTGTGATACAATTTAAATCTTTGTAAATGTTTGAGGCTTAATTTAATAAGACATTCATTGACTTAGAATATGGTCAATGTTTATAATTGTCTCATGTGCTTGAAAATAATATAAATTTTACAGTTATATGCAAGATTCTACATATATCCTTAAGGTCATGTTTCTTAATCTTGCCATTCAACTAAATCCTCACTGGTTTTTCTATTTTACTGTATCAGTTACCAAGACAAGTGCATTAATATCACTGCTATTATACATTTGTTTATTTCTCTTATTGTTCTATCAATTATTCCCTAAGACACTTGAAGATTATATTATTGGGCACATTTAGGTTTAAAATTACTCTGTCTTCCTACTGAATTGAAACCTCAATCATTTATAAAGTGACTATCTCTAGTAATTATTTGGGCTTTAAAGTTTATTTTGCTTAATGAACTTTAAGCACTCTCACACCAGTGTCCACATAGGAAGTATTTGCATGGTATAGTGTTTTCCATTATTATTTATCTTTGACACATGAGAAGTCTGAGCAACAGCAGTTAAGGAACAAACTAAACAGGTATAAGTGACACAGTCAGGAGATAGACCCAAACATTCTGTCTCCAAGATCTACACTCCTAAACATCATGCTTCTCTTATAGGTTCAAAGAGTAAAGTCAGTTTAGGTTTTGAAAGGAAAAAATGCTCTCACGGTCACTTCCACAGATATTTTTTCACCACTGAGTTGTGATTTTTTACACATCTAATTCTCACTCTAATATTCTAAGGTAACATAATATTTTGCAAAAATCTTAATACAGAACTGCAGTACTCAACCTCTTCCTCTTCTACACAAATTTTGCTTTGTGCCTTTGAAATGGGCATGCATACCAGAAGCCTTCATGTTTTTGTCCAATACCACTGAAATGCAGCATGGTTCCTTGAACTGCCCTAAACCAAATGAGGGAGCCAGGCTGCAATATGATCAAGAAGTCTAAGTGGTTATGTAGCTCTCCTGAGTAGGAATGTTCATTTCAACCCGCCTTCGGGAAAAACAACCCCAAGAATGGTGCTGGGCTGTTTCAGCTCTCCTTGAACAGCCATATATATATAGTAGCTTAACAAACAGAGGCACTTAACAACTTATGTATATCTTCTGAAAATCCACACATTTTGTTTCTTAAATTTTAATATACTATTAAAAAAACTTGTAAACTATGAAGAAAATTAAAACTTCTCATGAGTCCATTATCCAGAGTTAATTATATGTGGTTTGTTTTATTATTTTTTCTATTAGTTTTCTTGTGTTTGTAACATATATGCACATGTGTAGATACATACGTATGTACGTATGTACCCACAAATTGTAAACATATTTTATCATTAGTGTAGACTCTGATTTTTAAATTTAACCTTGCATTATGCGTAATTTTATGCTTTTAAAATTCTTTAAAAAATAATTTTAAATATCAAATATAAATTTTAATTATGAAATATCAAATGAAATATTCATTTCATTCTAGTTGCAGAATATCCCATCATATAAATGTGTTCAAACTTATCTAGCCACTGCTTTACTGCTGAACAGTTAACTCAATCTCAAATTCTTCTACTTATGAATACATGAAAATTAACAAGAGAAATATAAAATTTTATCTTCTTTAAACTGTTACGTTGGATCATTTGCAACTAAATATCTTCCAATCTAATAGCATGAGAATGTTGCATAGAACGCTTGAAAATATTTAAGGCTCTTAACAGAGGTGGTCAAACTCCTTCCTGAAAGTTGAACAAATATAAGCTTTTCCCAGAATTATTGAAAATGTCCCTCTCTTTACATTCTTGCTATAATATTATTGTTCTGAACGACTTTCCCCAAGTTAGATAAATGAGGTATAACTTCGCATTTCTTTTATTAGTTTTTGTTTTTGTTTTTTTTTTACAGTTACATTCCTTATTAACTGCTTGTTCTTATATCTCACTATATTTGTTTTTTTCTTTTTGAGACAGAGTTCCTTGCTCTTGTTGTCCAGGCTGCAATGCAATAGCACAATCTCAGCCTACCACAAACTCCGTCTCCTGGGTTCAAGTGATTCTCCTGCCTCAGCCTCCTGAGTAGCTCGGATTACAGGAATGCCCCACCACACCCTGCTAATTTTTCATTTTCAGTAGAGACAGGGTTCTCCCTGTTAGGCAGGTCTCAAAGTCCTACCCTCAAACTCCCTGCCCGCCTTAGCCACCCAAAGTACTGGGATTACAGGCGTGAGCCACCACACCTGGCCTTCATTATCTTTTAAATTAAGATATTAGTGTCTTTCTTATAACTGATCTTTACATTTGATGTTTGCCATATTTGTTAGAAGTAGTAGTGTCAGTTTGTCACTTCCTTTTAATTGTATTTATATTGGTATTTTTGCCTGTAAACCTATAAAATCTTTGTTTGCAATAATTTGGTTGTGACTTATTCTACTTTTGTTAGCATAAAAATACATTACTCACTATGTTTTCTCCTATATTATATTGTTTCATTTGTCTCTGAATATACGAAGCCTGATTTGTAAGTATTTTAAGAATATTATTTGAGATTTTAACAATTTTGTTTTTAAAAGAGGTAACCACTACCATTAATTCTAAGGGTTTTCACACATATACTTGCATCTTGAAATGGTGGAAACATAAGTCATAACACTGTAAGAGTAGATTTCTGAATAAATAAGTTTTAAGTCATTATGCAGGACAACCACTATTTTATTACTCTTTTTAGTATAAACCAAAGGAGATTTACCTTTCGATCTTACTGGTTACAAACATCTCCTGAACAACATAATTTCTTCCCTTCAATCTTCTCTGTGGTTACCCACATATGATTAGTTAATCGACAAATTAGAAAAGGATTTTCAACTCTATATCTGTAGTCAAACTTTCAGTGCCTATTCCCAAGAGTATAGTATTTCGGAAAAGATAAACAGGTATTTCATGCACACACAGATAGAAGCCTATGGAATTTTTCTGCCAGTAAATCAGAAAATATTCGTTTGGCCTCAGAAATATTACACTTTTGTATGTGTTAACAGAATCATACCCTGGAATATTTAATAGCCTAGAGAAAGTTTTCTAAAATACATGACCTAACTATTGTAATCCCAAATATTTAACAACAAAAAGTAGGAAATATTTCAAAAAACATTTTTCAGTGGAGAAAGCTTTCACAACTTCAGAAAAAGTGTATCTCATTAAGAAAATGAAAAGAAAAGAAATGTTCCTATCATCTGCCAGTTTAGAGACATTACCATCATAATGAGTCTCAAAATTATAATTAAAAAGCCAGTTGTCATCTGAATATAAAAGACTATGTACTATACTTTTATATGCATGTTTCATATATTTTTACTTATAAATTAAAAATATGAGAAAGCATATAAACTTCCATTTTTGTTAAATAGCAGTTATCAATTTTTCAAAAGTGTATGTGTTTTATGAATATACCTTTTTCCTACCCAGTGCAGTGCCAGAATTCTCTTCAGCTTTCAGAATCTTGTCAACAGATTCAAATAGGAATCATGTCATCAGCAAGATGAAAGCTGTAAAAATAAAAGTAGACCATTAACAGTGCATTGTTTTATTTAGTAAATGTCAACAGATGACTCTTGAAAGTAGATGTGTAAAGTTTTCAAAAGAAATTTAGATTTATGTAAATTGACAAATTATTAAATATGTATGTAAATGTACATACATAAATGTAATAAAATTATGGTTTCTGGAAGAAGGGGCATTATCTTGGCATTATAAAGTCACACAATCTAAAAATTCATAAGTTGTTGTGGTACAATTTTAATGTAAATATCCTGCAGATGCTTTAGGACAGGCTACACTAAGGTGAATTCTTGTTGCTTGAAATGAATGATTCGTGAGACATCTTCAGGTGTCCTCTTAGGTATCTTCATTGAGCACATTCAAACATATGACAGCAATGGGCCACACAGTTGTTAAATATACAGCTATTTTTCATTTCATTCTATCCCTGCCATGTATTTCTCTGATTGCCCTGCTCAGCCCAACTTCAGAAAGTGCTCTTGCCACTATCATGAGTAAATAAAATTCTGGCTCTGTTACCAATTTCCCCAGGCTGGAAAAAAATTGTCACAGACAATCTGTTGAGATTCCCAAGAATCAGACTTACGTAAACAGGGAACCTGTACACGGTAGGAGCTACAGCCTTGGTTCTCGCTCAGTCCCTCCACTACCAGTCCAATTCAATGAAAATTGAATAATGTCTTAGTGTTCATTTTTACACCATCACTGATTGTTCAGTTTTGATCACAAGGTTCACAGTATTTGAACAGTTTTATTACCATACTGTATCTTCCTGGAGCATACCCGGCATAGAAGCATTTTAAACCATTCCAAAATCAGAACTTTTGTTAACAAGCACAGAAATTCAAATGCCGCAAAGTTGACAAAAAGAAGAATCCACATTACTTTATTAGTTTACTCATTACTTCATTGAAGAATATTCCACAATGAGAATTATCATTAAAAACTTTGAACATCAGGCTGGGTGTGATGACTCACTCTTGTAATCCCAGCACTTTGGGAGTCTGGGGCAAAAGTAGTACTTGAACCTATGAGTTCAAGACTAGCATGGACAACATTGAGATCCCAGCTCTACAAAAAATTTTAAAATTAGCTTAGCATGATGGCACGCATCTGTAATCCCAGCTACTTAGGAGACTGAGGTGAGAGGATCGGTTGAGCCCAGGAAGTTGAGACTGCAGTGAGCTGTGGTTGCATCACTGCACTTCAGTCAGGACAACAAAATGAGACCCCATCTCAAACAAACAAACAAAATCGAACCAACCAACAACGTCAAGAACTTTTAACATGGGAAAGTATGTTGCTGAAGTGAAGCCTATCTATATTTATTCAGTGGATTTTTAAAAATGTATTTCCATAAAAAGTTGTACTTAGAAAAAATACCACAAACTCCACTTTTTTTTTTCAGTTCACTGAATTGTCTCATCTGTCCAAATGTAAAGAGGCTACCACAATTTTGTTTACTAAGTGAAACAGTGAAATTCTGTCATATCATATATTTGGGTGACACAGAAATTCACAGGTGGTAATTTTACCCACAAGAGGGAGCTTGTATTTTTATATTTTTATTATTGAATGTGAAAAGCTTGAATTAAAACATGAAGTTCTAAAAATATCTGTTGATACCATAATCTTTACATCTGATCAAGTTTTGAGGTATCCAGACTGCAGTTCTTCAATGATAACATATCACTATGGCAAAAGATTGGAAATATAACTGAAATTTAAAAAAAAAAACAGTTTCTACCTATATTATAATTAGTTTTTTCAGATACAAGAATAAGATGTCGCTGGCAAAGCAGCCTGAGAAAATTCTTTTTAGGTGGTAGTAACATTAGGTGTGTGAAATTGACTAGAATTATTATAAGTACTCTGTACCCAAATTTAATTACATAGCAGTGAAATGATAGTTCAGTCATTCTTTTATCAGGAAAGAGGTTGTATAAACCAATAATTTTCTATGTATTTATAGTACAGGAAACAACCTACTTTAAAAATTACTAAGATAGCCAATATTGCTAATATCACTTAAAACTTGCCTGAGAAACTGTAACTGACATGATATCACAATGAACTTCCCTTTCTTAGAGTTTAGAGAAAAAAATTCCTTAAAAAAAAAAAGCAAAAAAAAAAAAACTAAGCTTAATTCCTTCATATCCTGTAAGCTCCCTAAACAGTATCTGAAGTTGCTAAGACTCTCTAAATAAATAAATGTGCTCTGAATTTTGTAAAAACAAAATGAATTCATCAACTTAAAAACTCCCATCTAAAAAGATGATTTTGGCAACTCTTATCAACCCCAAGTGATCTGTTCCATCACATTCAGAGACACAGCCATAACTGAGCTGACCCTCAGTTTGTTTTCTGACCCTCTGTAAACTGCTTGGGAGACAGATAATAAGAGTTCTGTCACTTTCTCCCGGGGTTCTTGTCTCAACTTCTAGAAGATTTAACACAGGCAGGGAGTTGAGGATGAAAGGGTTAATCACTGCTGCTCTTCCTTCTGGAATTTCCAACTTACCCATTAAATCATTGTTTTTTTCCTCCCACTAGGGACTGTGAATCTAATGGACCTAAAATCAATACCTTACAAATGACATAAAAAATATATTCATTTTATGGACTAATGTACCCTAGTGTCTGAATCCTATTTACACCCTCTACTTTAAAAAGGAATGACAGACCCATTTCTGCCAGTAAAAGGTTACTCAGTCACTCTGGTGACATGCTGCAGAATGCACTGTCATACTAAAGTGAAGCACAAGGGAAAGATTGGTGGCTGCAGAAACACTATTGTGGAAATTTGCAACATGGTGCCGTGAAATTGTGTTAAGAAACACTGTCAGGGAGGAGCAGGCAGGTAGTTCCAAAGATGTTAGCCGTGTTCTGAGGTGGTTTTACAGATCTCTGTTTCATCATTTGTTTCATAACTTACGTATTTTATATAAAATTTGGAGTGGATCAAATATTATATAATACCATTTTAAAAACAAACACAACTTTCATTTAATAGTAAATTCTACCATGATGGAAAAAACTGGATAAAAATTCCTAAGAGGCAGAGATGCTCACTAACACACCAAAGCACTGTTAGCCAAATAGACACAGTGTGCCATCAAACCACATTAAAGGGGCCGAGGCAAGGCCCAGGGAGACAAAGCATATTTCATTTACAAGATACAGCAGGGAAACAATCAAAATCGGTGATCACTGCTTGGTTTTACATATTGAGACAGTATGCTGATGAAAGGGTTTTTTATTTACAGAAAATTCTCCAACCCAAAGGACCCACTTACTTCATCAAAAGCCGTTCTTACCACTTAGAAAGTATTAAGCTTAGTTTTTTGTTTTTAAAACATAATACATAAAACTTTTGAAATTTTGAGAATATCTTCTTCTACCTTTAGTATTTTTATGATACTAAATATAGGGCAACCCTGTAAAAATGCAAAGATAACTTTATTTTCGTTGCAAAGATTAAAGTATGAGGGGAAAGAGACAGAGAGAGAAAGGAAAGAGGAAAAAAAAAACCCTAAAAACTAAAGAAAGACCTTTTCACCTAGAAAAATATCTCCTATTTTGTGTTGCAATGGGTACAAATAGAAATAAAGAATAATGAACAAGAAAAAAAAACTTTAAAACAGATAGTTTTTGAGAGATTTCTAGCAACAGGTCAGCGTGAGATTTCCTGTTCAGTTTTACTGGCTTAAAATCTATACGGTTATAAAATTACCCAAAGGAAAAAAACTGTTGTTCTTTATTCCATTTGCCAACCAGAGTCATTTATCCCCTATTAGATAAAGTATAATAGACTCTACGGAAAGGGTCATTGGCCTTCCATTTAATGATATTGCCAGCCCCAATCTGCATATTCCCGGCAATGTCCCTCAACACAGAATAAATGGCTGATCTCTTCACAATAACAGCTGATTTCTATTTATTAAGCTAAAAAGGTCACCATTTTCTACGGCTGGGCCGCCCTGCACTATTGATAATTTTATGCATAAACAAATGGCAAATTTGTGCCACATAAATATGCATTAGCAATTACTTTTTCCTTGGGCAACGCTCACCGCATGCAAATGTGTACCTCGCAGGGCCTGGTAGCTTTTGTTTTAGCTCTTGAACAGTGAAACAAAAGAGCACAATAAACAATTTTAAAATTGCCAATCAATAAGCAATGCAAATGCAAAGGTAAATGGCAAGAAACTTGCTCAGAAACAACAAAAGTGAAGCAGGAGGGGGATGGAGAAGGATTTTCTTTTTTATAATATTTCATTTCTTTCTCTTTGATAATGAAAAGGCTAAAGTACTCTTGACACAGAACAGCTAGCTAGGCTGGTACTAAAGCAGATGCCAGATGGAAAAAGGAGAAAATATACACATGTTGAATAAACACACATATCCCAAAAAGAGGGTAAGAGGAAAACCGTGTTCCTCTTTGGGATTTCCAGGGCATCGCCTACTCAAATTTGATTGTCAATTTCAGAGATTTGTAAGAATATTCAATTTCAGAGATTCCAAGAATTTTAAAACTAGGAGGAGCTACAGAGATTCATAACCAAATCTCAGTCTCATACTACTTTGTTAGGCTCCTGTTTCCTAAGGTGCCTTCCTCAGATAAAAGGAATATATAATCTATAAATGAGATATCTTTAGAACACAAAGAAAATGGGTAAATTAGGAATGTTTAAAATAAAAACCCTAACCTCAAAACAGTGCAAGAATAATGCCAGGCACAAGAGGCAAGAGGCATAAAAACTAGAAAAAAAAAGTGTTATCCAATTTGAACCGGAAAACAAAAGATAACTCAAAAAAAGTTTATTTTATAAAAAATGAGTCTTAAAGGATTTTTTAGTATTATTTACCAAGCACTATTCTAAGTGCTTTACACTTAGATCCATTACACTTCATTTTCACAAAAACCTCGAAGGATGGTACTATTAGCGACGATCCTATTTTATAGCGCTCAGCGCAGGGAGGTTAA